GCGCAAGCTACGACAGTTGTATCGGCAACTTCGCTGCTTACTGCGATTGATTGGATAATAATTGATGCAGAACAGAATGCCGAACAAGGTTTAATTATCAGAGCGATCGCCAAATTTACTTCAGACATTTTGTGGAAACTTCAGCGTTTACTGAGGTGGTCTTAAGAAAGAATGTTACCGACTTGACTGTGCGCAGGCCAATCACTTTAAATCCAGGAAAATGGTGAAAGATGCGCAATAAAGTTGGTGAATACGGCGGTAAAAATCCAAACTTGATATTAGCACTCGTGCCATTTGTTCGAAAGAGGGTAAACTTTAAAGCTGTCGCTGACAAAGGACGGCACTGATCTAAATCGTTGCCCTTTCTAAACGTCAATTTGCTGCCCTAATTCATGCGGCTTAAATCCCTGGAGTCAAGTTCTCTCCACCCCTAGTCTGTAAACTTGCTCGCACTGTCATGAACGATGCGAAAATGTATAGTTTAGAAATCCATTGATCCATTCGACGATAAACCTATCGTCGACACAATCAAGACACGATGGGTTAAGCAGTCTGTGGTATATTGTATATTTACTCTTTTACATACAATTAATCTACTAATTGACTTTGTTTGCCGTGATAGGAGGTGCAGACATAGTCTGTCGGGCACAGAGCGAGAAGCTCATGGTCAGTGCCGCGCAGCAGGACCACATGGTAAAAATTGTTGCGTATCGTTTGCACGACTAAGCCGGGGGTTCGAGTCAGGAGACCTGAATGTGTACCTTCTTTGTAGCATGGACGAAGCTCATTTCCTGATCACCTGCGACAACGGCCTTACACTTAGGTTTAGTGGTGATAAACGACCATGGTAGTTTACATCACGGGCATTTCAAATGCGAGAATGGATGCACCCATGATGAATTTCCAGAATGCAATCCAATCATACCCAACGAATGGTCTTTTAGACGATGTCCTTAGTGCTTCAAACTGGTCTAAGCCTAGAGTATGGCATGATAAAAATGTTGGTTTCTTGTGCATCATCTTTTTATTTAGTGCTACTTTTTATTTATTTTTACACTGATTTTTGTATTATTTATATGGATTTAAAGATACGAGCCTTTAAAAGAATGAGCTGGACGAAGATATGTCATATATGTGGATAAGTGTGCCTGTCACAATGACAGTACCAAATTACGTGATTTTTTTTTAAAATACTAAACTACGTTATTTTCCACCCTGCTCAATCGAACTGGATTGGCGTGTTGTCTCTTTCTTCATCTCAAATGTAATCGACGAAGGTTCCCGATTGTGGGAGGTCGATAAAACGCGCGTGATTAAAAAAAGGTAACTGGATAGGCACCGTGCGTAAAAACGGTTTTTGGTTAGGAATGCTAACGAATATGGGCAAACGCTTCTTGGCTTTTACCGCCACATCCGTACGCGCGGTAAACGAAATGCGAGAAAGTTGTAATTTAACATACGCTTGTATGTCTATAATTAGCTACTCCATGGATGTCAGTGGTTGATGGCTCGAAGTGCAATTGACGCCGGAACTGAAACAAATTATTGGCAAATAACGCAGCCACTACGATGGCTTTCCCGTTACAACTGGGCTTTATATCATGTAGCCAAAAATAGTATTACATATTGCGCTGTTTTCGGTTATTATGAATCCGCACTAATTCTCTGCATTCAAAATTACCGCGGTCCATACAAAATTTTCAAGCCCTTTTTTCAGTGCGGATTTATCAATAGTGCGGTATGCACGAATGCGTGCGAGCGACTCAATAACAAGGTAATCGTTATATAAATCGGTCCGTACTAATCACAGTCAACAGTTTACCGGTGTACGTTACGAACTTCATCGCGTGATAAGAGAGGCCGGAATAATCTGCTTCGTTAGGGTGATCCTTGCTAGTGTTTTAGCATTAACTTGGCTTGTGCCATTTTACAGCTTAACGCCAAAATGGTTCCTACTGGAGAGTTTGGGCCCCTTCTACAATTTACGAAAGGGGTGATAGTGTTTTATCGTTCTGAAAGTGCTTTAGGAGATTGTCTTTCAATGAAACTTCCTTAAAGTTTCACTTGTCCTACTGCTTGACAATCCCATGCGCATCTATATTCCCCTTGAACGAAGAAATCATCTGACAGCTAAAGGCGGGCAGCTGTACCACCGTAAAAAATATCTTGTTGTTAGCTCTTTCACACTGCGGTAGTTAAAAATACGTTCCACAAGGAAGCATTGACCGCCGCTCGCGCTAATCGAGGGAGGAGTCGGAGGAAGAACCAAATTCTCCGACTTATACAAAGAACTAAACTGATGCTACAAGTTTATTCGACCGCTTCAAGCACGAGTAACGCAATGAGAACTGACACCTTATGAAGTGGTGTCAAAATATTTTGACTTTGCGGATAGTTAATGCTTAGATCAAAGACTGACAGATCGGACTTTGACGTTTGCGCATCTTGAAACTGGTCCTAAACAGCATCATTCGCGACGAGCTAGACGCAGCACGTCAGGATATTGCTATCGGTGTAGCGGCGAGAAATTCGATCTCTAGAATCTGGAGAAGAGTCAACACCGCGAGTACAAGCATATGTTGAAGATGCTTGAGCACGATGATTTCATTATTAACAATATCGCGGACTGATAGTACGGCAAAAGAATAAACAGCATCAATTGTTAGATGCTTGCACATTCTGCTTAGCTTTTCAATCGTACATGCGTTGTATACGTAGAGGAGCACACAGAACGGGCCAATAAATCTGAGTAGCACCGGTTACAACCTATTTAAGTCAACCTGTGTTGAGGTACGTTTACCGGAGATTATATGAATAAGCCACTCATATTATGTATAAGAAGAATTGCCTGCATTCTGAACTATAATTAATTTTCCTCGGATAATCTCGACCCAAGAGCTTAAGCAAAAAAGTGATTTAACGGGCATGAAATTGATGTTACAGGATGTTTCGCATGGATGATCGATATTGATAACGACAGATCTCGGAGGCGTCCTGTCTCGACAATGCTGTGATCAGATCTAACGCGTTTTTATTTTTGCATATTCAATTCGTGTACCAGATGGCTTTTCGAGATAGTACAGTTAAGTGCAAGAAGATGGGATTAATCTGGATATCCAAATCACGGTGGCTGTTGATTGCGTTCTTAACAATTAACGAAGTGCTTTTTGAACGGGGCCGAGATAGCGATCGTCAATGATTGCGTTGGCGCCATATCTGAAACAATTTAAGAACGTTGTCTTATTCTTTTTTGGCTCACATAATTGGTGTGTGTCCATTCACAAAGGATATCGGCGACGATCCTCATAATCGAGATGGCGAGCTGATCAAATTAACCGGTTTGGGGAAAAGTGGTAGTCGTAATCCGTCTTAAGGCGCTTTCTAATTTTGTTGTGCACATAAATCTGCCTTCTGAGCAAAAGACAAAACCAAGAGGTTCACTATGCTTTAAGAGGTAAATTTTGCCTTTCACCCGGCATAAATAAGGATATACGTTTGTCCTTGAGCAGTACAGAAAAAGTTAATCATTACATAAGGCCGCCACAACCTTCAAGATTCTTAGTCGCGAGGACCAAAATGTGACTTGGGTGTAAGATGGGAGTACACGATCTCGATTTTCGAGCTTTCATGTCATGGGCGACCTTGACACTAGGCAAATTGACTTAACATGCGAGTGTTGAAAAGCCGGTTCACCAACGCTCGCAGCATATCAGTGACGCTGATAGCCGACCCAGAATCGTGGAACGCTTAGCCGAATCAATTCACCTTCAACACCTTATACAGGTCTGGAAGGCGAAAAGAAGTAGTAGATTTGAGTCTATTTATAGCTGCAATAGGGTTCTGTCCCGCACTGTCCCATCCAGCCGTCCCCGTATCCCATCTCGCACGGAAAAGGATGCAGGTTGACATCGTTACCGTCCCGAGCGTCTTGCACATCCCGCATCATACCATTATTTTTTATGTACAGCATCGTATTTCTACATATGTTCTACTTTAATATGTGTATGTGAGCCAAAAGCTTAAAGTGATAGCGTCATCTGTTCGACGTATATACGTTGCCAAAATCACTTTTTGACATCATTCGATCGTTTTGCCACGGTAAGCATTGAGGTATTTTAGATATTTATAATGATGTTTTGGGTGCCCTTAACGATAACTCGACAGTAAATCCTTAAATTCTGAAAAAGATTCGTCAAAGGAATTTTACTTTCTACCAAGCGTTTAGATCGCTTTGGGGCAATCGCATAGCATTTACTCTCCAAACCTTTTTTTAATATGTCACTGCTCGCTGAAAGTTAGCTGCGTTGGTGTTTATATCTGTATTCAATTTTTTTAGTACCCCACCTTTGTGTTAAAGAAGAGCCCAGCTTGCATGATTTCGCCATCAGCAGCACCGATTAGGATCCAAAATAAAAGGCGATTGTAACGGGGCACCCTGAAGCTTGTACTGGTGACAGTACAAGCTACTTATTCTGATGACAGAATAAGGCGGTGCCTCGTAACTTCACGTACACTCGTACGTGCAGAGGAAGACGGTAAGAAGAAGCGAGTACTTGGTTAGAGTAAAAAGTAGAACTGTATTTATAATAGTTAACGTCTGCAATAAATCACTATTTATCTTCATCTAACTATGTCTAAATACAAATGTGTAAATCAGTTATCTGCTCACCACTCATTGCGTGCGTATGTCGTGGCGCGTCTTCGTTGGTTGATATAATGGCCTACATCAACCAATTAGGAACTACTCGTAAGTGCTGCAGAATATTTGTCCTTATGACACTATTCTGAGAATATAACTCTTACAGTTATATTCTATTAACAATTTCTTATAAATTGTTATGTAACGATTCACCCCGTTACATCACCCCCCTCCTTAGCCATCAGTTACTTTGGTGACTGATTGACTAAATGGAAACTTGTCCCAAATCATTTGGGACGGGTTGTGCACTTGTTGGTCCGAGTTCACAGTCCACTAATTTCATCGCATGGTAAACAAGCCCATGCGGCGCGCGAACAAGGAAGCTGAGAGCGGGTCCGCACGTCTCTGTGCGGATGCCGAAGCAGAAACCACAGCAACTGATGTCTCATCGGTTGCTAAAGCGTCTCAGTCTGTGTCACCTGGTGATGCAGACGCTCGTCATGAAGACACTCATGTCTTCACAGAGTATGAGCTCGGTGTCTCATACTCTCCTAATACGGAAGACGGATCCGTATCGAAGGCGGTTGAAACCAAGCCGCCTGCCAAGCGTGGCATGGACGATGCTACGCTTCGTAGCATCTTAAGTTCATCTGATTCATCAGATGAACCATTGCCGAAGCGAAGGCGCTCGAGGTCGCAAGACTCGGGCGCTCACAGTGGTGTCGGTTCTCCTATTGACACCACTTCGCAACGAGGTGCCAGTACTTCTGTCGGCACGTCGCAAGAAGAGCGGTACCGCAGTGTGTTGCGTCTCGCTCCCGAGAAGAAGGCATGGCTGTCTCCAAAGTCGGTCATGGATCGCTTGTCGGCGACGACAAGTGATCGCTATCGAACACGATTGTTTGATTCGTCAAGGATCCATCACCTTGACCCCAGTGCGAAAGACTATCACACTGAGAATGAATTCTTCATCGATGCTTTCTTTAGACATCGATGGTACAGTGGGAATCACAAACATGATGGTCCCTCACTGCTTCAAGCGTGGAACGCTTACATCCATAACCTTGAGGATGTAGGTCGTGACGTTTGGAACGACAAACTTATTAAAGCTCGTGATAAGTTCGAGAAACGAACCCCGACAGGTGCACGCTACAAGCTGCATCGTCTGTCTAAGGAGGGTGGGTTACCCTGTCTCTCCTTAGGAGACCCGTCCTTTGTTGTGTGAACAACTCAGCGCGCGCAACTAAGGAGGCTTACCTCCTTACTAGCCCGTGGTGGCGCGTACGTATCTCTACTGAGATGTACGAAGGGAAAGAAAACCTGAAATCCCTTTACGACCGTGCCGGGAAGAATTTCTACGGCGGTCCTTCTGTGGCACAGGATGTGCCGCGTCGTGCTGCTCAACCAGACCCAGTACGTCAATCATCAGTTGGGAGCGGGGCTCCCAAGTATCCCAGGACGGAGAATAACCCCGCCACCGGACGAGATAACTCGTCCGACGTCCGTTCACGTCGCGGTGTTTCAACAGCTGCTCAACTAGATAGCGCTGTCCACCGCGAGAGTCCTCTAAAGGAGGTGGAGGAGGAGGGAAAACGCTCTCCACACAGTCGTGCGATCCTTGTGTTCCCGAGGGCTTCTTTGATCGCGTAAGCAAGCGTTACGCGGCGATCTCGAACATGAGCGGTACAGGCGTCTTCAACTGGCGGACACTGTCTTGAAGCATCGAGCTGAGTTTGCATTTGCTCAGCTTGAGAACGAGAGAGCTTTGACATCTCGGCGTGACGAGCTAAGGGTAGTTTGTGGGGATATTGACCGGTCTCGGGCTGAGATAACTGCTCTTCAGACCCTTGTCGATATCCACAATCGGGAGCACAAGGCCCTTTGTGAGATGCTTGAGCGCAAGGGTGTTCTTTATCGGAAGAAGCAGCGTACTGATGGTACGGCTTGAGCCGACCAACTTAAAACGTGGGATGTGTTCGCATCTTACGTGGCAACTCGATCGTGTATGCATTGCCTAGGCGGTGCAATACACAAAATAGGCCGATGTACTTGGGTAGAAGTTTACTGCTACCCAAGTTAGTCACTACATGCTTTGGTAGATTAACCGTTGACAGTAGGACTAAGTCACTTTTATTAAATAAAAGAGTGTTTGCCCTTCCATTCTTGTCTGCGTTTTGCTTTTGCTTATCCACCGCTTCGGCGATGGAGTCTTGCACAAAACGGACTACGGTTTCACGAGCCAGTATGAACTCATCTGCTGACTCGTTAGCTTCAGTGCGCTGTGAGTGCACTGCAGCAACATCAATCTTTTCTCCAGTGAGGGCTTCCGCTTTCTCACTGGCATCATCTTCTTCGATACCGATGTTATCGATATCGGCATCAAACGCAATGACCTCATCGTCAGAGCGTGATGAGCGCGAACCAAATCGACTTTTGCTCGCGCGAGTCTCTCCCCCCCTTAAACCAGAGTACACTCGAGTAAGGTGGGTACACGCGGATGGCGTAAGCCATTCACGTAAAACGGTGTATGTGTCGTGGACGCATGCACCGAGTTGTTAATGGCAAACTCTACCATTGGCAAGAAATCACTCCAACTCTTAAAGGAGTGTACGTATCCGCGAAGTATCTCTTCGAGGACACGATTGGCACGTTCCGTCTGACCATCTGACTCTGGATGATCATATGTCGACATCTTCAAGCGCGTTCCTAGTGATTTAAACACGGAACGCCAGAAATCAGCAGTGAATCGTGGATCTCTGTCTGATACGAGTTCACAGGGCAACCCTTGAAGTCGGAAGATGGTGTCAATAAAGACACAAGCACAGCCACTTGCCGTGATTATCTCTGGTACAGCCACAAGGTGTACCATTTTGCTGAATCTGTCAACAAATACGAGAATACACGTATTCCCGCGTGCGTCTTTGGGTAACCCGAAGACGAAATCCATTGAGATGGATTCCCAGCGCTCTGCCGGAACTGGTAGAGGCTGTAAAGGTGCACGCAATGAAGGACTTGACTTCACTCGTTGACAGACTTCGCATGCGAGAACATACTTTCGCACAAACTGATACTGGCGGGGCCAGTAAAAGTCTCGACTCACCGTGAGATATGTTTTCTCCCGGCCACGATGTCCTCCTATAGGAGCATCGTGATACTCGAACATGATCCGCAAACGCAGATCAGTATCATCCGGGATGACAACACGTGGTGTGTCGCCAGTAGCGGCTATATAACACAGTAAACCGTTGCGAGTAGTGTATCGATCTGATGCAGGTCGATGCGCAGACGATAATCGTTTCAACGATTCTCGAGATGGTTGTGAGAGATGTGTCAACAACTTCACAATCTCACCATCTTGGGGGTATGCCCGCCTCGCATCATCATGTAACGTTGTAGATGAGACTGAGGACGTCACAACCGCAACAGTGGATGTCTCACTGTTGGGTTTCACGACTGGTTCAAAGTCGGGCCGACGTGAGAGTGCATCAGCGACGACATTAAGCTGTCCTGGATTGTACTCGACCGTAAAGTTGTATTCTGCAAAGAATGACAACCACCGCGCCATTCGTTGTAAAAGGTGCGGGCTGTTTACTGCCGTGCGTATCGACGCATGGTCAGTGTAAACAATGAAGGGTCTATCTCCTAATAGATAGACTCTGAACTTCGCGAGTGCATACTTCATGGCAAGGAGTTCCTTGTCATGCACTGGATAGTTCCGCTCAGCTGGTTGCAGCTGACGCGACTGATAGCAGACGACGCGTTCAACGCCTTCAAGATCGTACTGCATTAATGCACAGCCGATTGCGAAATCGCTGGCATCACAGACCACATGAAATGGCCTGTCCTGATCAGCTATTGCTAGGACTGAGGATTTTATCAAGCTCTGCTTGATACCAATAAAGAAGCGCCGACATTCAGCTTTCTATACCCACCTCTCGTTCTTTTTCAACAAACGAGAGAGGTGTACAGTCATCTCGGCGTAATTGCGTGAATACTTGTGCAAATACGCCGCTAGCCCAAGGAATTTTCGAAGACCTTTGACATCAACCGGCACAGGCCAGTCGGCGATCGCCTTGATCTTTTCGGGATCAGGACGTACCCCATTCTCACCAACGATGCACCCAAGAAGTGGTATTTCGCTTGCTGCAAATATACACTTCTTGAGGTTTGCATACAATTGATGATTTCGCATGATTGTAAGAACCTTGCGGACGTGGATTCTATGAACCTCCACGTCCGTCTTTCCATCCATAGCCCGGCTATGGACGAAGACATCGTCGAAGTAACTCGGTGCGAAATCGCGCACCGATCGCAACATATTTGTAACACATCTGTTGAACGTTGCAGGGTGTTACTTAGCCCCTGTGGCATTACTAGCCATTCCCAGAGCATGCCGCTAGGCGTGCTAACTGCGGTATAGGGTATATCCCGTTCTCGCATAAGGATTTGATAGAAGCCATCCATCAAATCCATGGACGAAAAGATGGTACTCTTTGACACACCATCAATGATTACGTCCTTCCTCGGTATCGGCGTCTGATCCGGTACCGTTGCAGCATTCAACTTGTTAAAGGCATGCACTATCGGCAACCCTCCTGTTGCTTTTCGCACACAGAAGGTCGGAGAGCTATGTGGGGAAGTTGATTCCCTCACATGGCCCGCAGCTAAACGATCGGCAAAGAGCTTGTCGATCGCAAGTACTTGTTCACGAGGCAGTGGCCACTGCTTCATGACACAGTACTTCGAGCCTGTTTTAAGCTCGACCTCGTGCCGAGTACCTTTATCCTTCGGTAATTCGCACGGAACAGTTTCAGGGAATACATCCTTGAATTCAACCAAATCTTCATAGAGAGGATTTGTCTTGAGCGATTCCCACGATTGGGAGTCATATCTCTCAACTCGTGTCTTTTCATCTAGGACACTCTCGTCCATCGATGAACTACTGAGAACTCTCTCGTTCTCAGTAAACACTGTTGCTGACCTTATGTCGGCTACACACTCGTCGTCAGCGACGAGTACGCAGATCTGCTTGACTTTGCCACTACGCAGATCACGCAAGAAACTTTTACGTTTGAGCGTTGGCAACTGAGTGATCTCTGAAGTCAACTTCGGAGGCGCAATCAGATCAAGTGTATAAGCGCCTATACTTGATCCGTTATTGACTATGACATTCAATGCCTCTGTTATTTCCTGGGGACTTATTCCATCAGGCCTCGAAGGACTTATTCCTTCGGCTTCCCGGGGACTTATTCCCGCGGGTTTTGGGGAACCTCTATCCGCCGTATTTGTAATATCGGGACTTATTCCCTTAACTTCCTTTAGCTGGGGTTTGCGCAACCACAGCGAGATCCTCTACGAAAGACTCTCCAGTCGATCTAGGATTATCGTTTCGCTTTACCTGAGCGATCGATTGTTTCTCTTCTAGATGTTCCCGCTAGGGATACATCTTTGTCCCGGTCCACTCGACTTATTCGAGTGGTGGACCTTCGGCGCAGCCTGTGTTTCCTCACAGCCACCGGAACTTTGCTCCGAAGTGTAACCGTTTGTTACACTAAGATTTTGTGCAGTCGTACTAACGACCGTACCACAAGTGAGGCCATCGCACTCACTCGTAGTACATCCACACGTTTGTGGACGCTCCAAAACGTTCATCAGATGGACATCTGATGAACAAGCGGCAGGCATCGTTACTGTTCGATGTTGCCAGTTTACCCGTGGTTCGTACCTTCTGAGCCACGGTATTCCAAGGATGACATCAAATTTGTCATCTAAATCCAATACGATAAAGTCATCGTCATATTGGGTATCTTCTAGCGTATAGTGAATCTTCACTACACGCTTCATGACGGTTACGGATGCGCCTGTCGCAAGACGTACCGTCATCCTAGCAGGAGGTGTGTCACATTTAACAAACTTGAAATGACCATCTTCTAGCGATTGGCGCCGCACAAAATTGTTAGACGCCCCACAATCGACTAGAGCTCGAAGGGACAACTTATTCGTCACTTCGAGTTTCAAGGTAATGAGTGAGATCTCATTACCTAGAGCAGCAACGCACAACGCTAGTGTGTTGGGAGCAACCTTCATCAAGAGGCCTACAAATTCTCTTGACGTTGCTGGACCAGTAGGGTGCTCCGCACCTACTGATCCTGTCCGTTTTTTTACGGTCCATCCCGTTGTTGCGTCTTTGCACCAACAGCGGACCCGTGTCCCTGCCCCTTTCTCATAGGTGGACGGTCACTACCCCCAGTGTTGCGAGACACTGGAAGAGGGGCACTACACTCGTAAGCGTAGTGTCCTGTCTTTTGACATCGGTTGCATTTCTGCAACTTCTTGTAGTCTGTAGAGCGAGCCTTCTCGCTCTCTACATAACAGAGTTCCATCGGCTCTGGACCTCCGTTGTCATATCGTCTCGGTTGACGATATGATGTCGAGCTGGCGCGAGCCTGTCTCAGACTGAAGTCTTTCTGTTCCGCAATGAAAATGGCTTGTTCTAGTGGAATCTAGTTCAAGTCGGAACAGGTGAGTCTTTACAGGACCATCCGCAAGACCCTGCATGAACACCGAAACCCACGTGTGTTCATCAACCGGGTTGGAACTTATACATCTCGTGAGATGTCGTATATGTTGCGCGTAAGCGTGCACATCAC